CAGAGGACGAGGGCTGCGAGTCCTCAAAATCCCTAATAAGGGTAGAGTCCAAAATAAGCGATCCAGGAACCCAGGAACGTTCCTCAGGACCGTAGCCCTCCCAGTCGACAAGGTACTGGTGGCCCCGACCTCGCCGCCGGGAGGCAACAATCCGGCGGACGGTGAAGGCCGGATGGCCATCTATGTCACGGGCGGGTGGAGGGGGTTCGGCCGGAGGGCAAAGGTCACTGGATAGGACGGGCTTGAGCTGGGATACATGGAAGGTAGGATGGATGCGTAAAGACGGAGGGAGTCGAAGTCGCACAGCTGAGGAACCCACGATCGCCAGTACCTCGAAGGGGCCGATGAACCTGGGAGACAACTTCTTAGACATCGATTTAAGGGGAATGTTGCGTGTGGATAGCCATACCCTTTGGCCTACGGAGTATGTCGGGGCTGGAGTTCTTCTTCGGTCCGCCAGTCTTTTGTTAAGAATAGACGTATTGTTGAGGGCGGAGATGGCATCATTCCAGATCTTATGGCTTCTGCGGATGTGATGCTGGACTGACGTGACCGAAATGTTTTCTTCATCAGATGGTAGGAGTGGTGGTTGATATCCCAGGACTATTTCAAAAGGAGAAAAACCAGTAGCTGCAGAAATGTGACTATTGTGCGCGTATTCTACCCAAGGAAGGTGTTGGGCCCAGTCATCGGGGTTGGTGGAGGTGAGACATCGCAAGGTGGCCTCAAGCTCCTGGTTCATACGCTCTGTTTGCCCGTTGGTTTGGGGATGGTAACCGGAGCTGAGAGCCACCTTGGCTCCCAGGGCGGAGCAGAACTGGTGCCAAACCTGCGAGACAAACTGGGGACCCCGGTCCGAGAGAATCTCCTGAGGAATCCCATGGAGCTTGAACACATGTTTTATGAGGAGCATGGCGGTTTGAGCAGCAGTGGGTAACTTACGAAGTGGAACGAGATGACAGGCCTTGGAGAAACGGTCGATTATAGTTAGGATAGTGGTCATACCTTTGGAAGTCGGAAGTCCGGTAACAAAATCGATAGCGATGTGGGACCACGGCCGCTTAGGTGTGGGTAGCGGTTGGAGAAGGCCTGCCGGAGGTTGATTAGACGACTTGTTTCTTGCACAAACTGTGCAGGCTGAGACATACTCCTTGACATCCTTGTGTAAGGATTTCCACCAGAATCTGCGACTTATCAGTCCGATGGTGCGACTGACGCCAGGGTGAGCAGAGAACTTGGATGCGTGAATCCACTGGATGAACTGGGAACGGACAGCTGAAGGGACATACAATTTACCCGGAGGACAGGATTCTGGAGGAGCTTCGGTTAGTTGTGCCTGACGGATGATGTCCTCCATCTCCCAGGTGACCACTCCTACCGTACAGCTAGGTGGGAGGATGAAGGCTGGGGTCTCCTCCGAATCGTCAAAGGAATGGATCCTGGACAGAGCATCCGGTTTCACGTTCTTTGAGCCTGGACGATAGGAAATAGATAAGTTAAACCGTGAGAAGAACAGAGACCAGCGTGAGTGACGGGGGTTGGATCTTTTAGCTGACTGAAGATATGACAAGTTTTTATGGTCGGTCCAGACTAAGACAGGTTGCTCCGCTCCCTCAAGCCAGTGGCGCCATTCCTCTAGCGCCAACTTTATGGCTAAGAGCTCTCTATCCCCCACATTATAATTGCGTTCGGCTGGGGAGAGCCTGCGGGAAAAGAAGGCACATGGATGCAGTTTAAGATCTCGGTCGGAGGTTTGGGAGAGAACAGCCCCGACCCCAGTGTCGGAGGCGTCCACCTCCACCACGAACTGTTTAGTGGGGTCGGGCTGGACCAGAACAGGAGCCTTAGCGAACCGTGACTTGAGCTCAGCAAAGGCTGCATCAGCTTGATGATTCCAACAGAACACCCTCTTGGTAGAGGTTAGAGCCGTAAGGGGAGAGGCCGTCTGGCTGTAATTACGGATGAACCTTCTATAGAAGTTAGCAAACCCAAGGAAACGTTGTAATTGTTTGCGGGTCTCTGGTTTAGGCCAGTCCAGGACTGCTTTTACTTTATCCTCCGCCGCTCTTACCTGTCCGCCCTCAAGGACGTAACCCAGGAAGGTGACAGATGGACGGTGGAACTCACATTTCTCGGCTTTCACATATAGTTTGTTCTCCAGAAGCCTCTGGAGAACCAAGCGAACATGTTTCTGGTGTTCAACGAGGGACTTGGAGTAAATCAAGATGTCATCTAGATAGACAAAAACAAAAACATTAATAAAATCTCGGAGGACGTCATTAACCAGGGCCTGGAAGAAAGCGGGAGCATTAGACAGGCCAAACGGCATAACCAAATATTCGTAATGTCCCATGGGAGTCTTGAATGCCGTCTTCCACTCATCACCCTCTCTTATGCGGAGCAGGTGATAAGCGTTTCTGAGATCTAACTTAGAGAAAATGGTAGCGCCCTGAACGGGCTCAAAGGCTGAGGAGAGCAGGGGTAATGGGTACTTATTCTTAACAGTGATTTGGTTTAGACCTCTGTAATCTATACACGGTCTCAGTGAACCATCCTTTTTTCCTACAAAGAAGAAACCAGCACCCAGTGGGGACGAGGACGTCCGAATGATGCCCGCTGCGAGGGACTTATTGATGTAGTCCTCCATGGCTTGACGTTCAGACCTGGAAATGTTGTAGAGCCTGCTATTGGGTAGTGGGGCTCCAGGCAGGAGGTCGATAGCACAGTCGTAAGGTCTGTGAGGCGGAAGAGACAGGGCTTTGTCCTTACTGAAAACAGCAATGAGGTCGTGGTACTCACTGGGCACTGAGGTAACATCGGGGGGGTCGACCTCAGCAGAAGCTGAGACTGAGGTCTGAGCCGGGACAGCGGAGCGGAGACAAGAGGAGTGGCACTTGGTAGACCAGGAATCTATCTTGGCCTCCACCCAATCTATTCGGGGGTTGTGTGTGAACAGCCAGTTGAAACCTAGCACAATGGGTGAGCTGGTAGCAGGAAAAACATAAAAAGTTATTTCTTCAGTGTGGTTACCGGAAATTAACAGGCGAAGAGGTTTAGTTTTATGGGTGATCTGGGGTAGATTTCTCCCATCCAGGGCTGAGACACGGAGAGGGACTGGTAGGGGTTCGACCTCGACGGGGAGTTGATGAATGATGTCAGAACAGATGAGGTTCTGTTCACATCCAGAGTCGATGAGGGCTGACAGGGAGAATGAATCGTTCTGATAAAATAGAGTGACTGGAATTACTAAGCGAGGTCTTGATGAGGGTGATGCCGGCAGTCTCCCCGCTCCGAATGCCGGCCCTACAGGTTTAAACGAATGGGACAGTTAATGATTACATGATTTGGCTCACCACAGTAGAGGCAGAGTCGTGAGCGCATCCTCCTTTGCCGTTCTTCTGGTGTAAGCCTCGTGTGTCCAAGTTGCATAGGTTCAGGCTCATGAACTGTGGAAGAAGGAGGTGAATGCTGGGTAGAGGACTGACTACTGGTTAGAGACACACGAGGAGAGAAGGCTCGGCGGGATCGTTCCTTAGCCCTGGCACGGATACGATTATCCAACTTTATTGTTAGATTTATAAACTCATCTAGTGACTCCGGTTCGTCAAGGGCAGCAAGTTCATCTTTAATTTGTTCGTTTAGCCCATGGAAAAAGGCGCTCTTAAGAGCAATGGGGTTCCAGCCCGAAGCTGCAGCCTTGATTCTAAAGTCAATGGCGAAATCAGAAACACTTCTCTGGCCTTGTCTTAGCCCATGTAATTCTCTGGAGGCAGACATTTTTTCTGTCTCCTGGCAGAAAACCTGCTTTAGTTCAGCCAGGAATTCAGGATACGTACATCCGTAATTGGACGCAGTAGTAAATCGGGCCTCGGCCCAGTCTAAGGCTCGACCCGTCAATAAGGATAGCATGTAAGAAATCTTAGCATCATCATGGGGAAAACTCCGCGGTGAATGGTTAAAGACAATAGTACACTGGAGGATAAATCCCTTAACCTTCCTGATGTCTCCTGAGAACTTCTCCGGTGTAGCTGGACGGACCTCCGAAATCCCGGAATGGACGGGCGGATCTGGAGTTGCGGGAGGAGCAGGAGAGGGGTCAGGAACCTGTTGTACTGAATTCTGAAGAAAATTAGAAATTTCAGTTAGTCGACGGTTTGTCTCTGCTTGGCGGTTTCCCAGTTCTCTTAACGCTGAATCATGGGACTGAATTAAGGCGTGTTGATCGGATAAGGCTTTTCTGATTGAGTCCGCGGAGGTTGTGATCTGGCCTGAGTGTTCTGTCATGATGGTGTTCACTCTACGAACCCACATGCAGGAACACAATCAGATGAGTCAGAGTAAATAAACAATAATGAGTTTATTGATTCCAGGGGAAGGGGAAGGGAGTGAGTACTGGAGCGGATGACCGGGTCGTCTTACTGTCAACGAGAGGCAGAGGAAGGAGTGTGTTTCTTTTTCCAGGAATGAATTGAACTGGTTCTTACTTGATCTGAAGGTGAGTAGTTGAGAGCTGAGCGCTGGATAATTGAGCCTCGTCGGAGGGCGGACAGGTTATTTGCGGCGGAAAGAGCGAAGAACGTCGCGGTCCAGTTGTTCCTTCTTTCCAGATGGGTTCGGGCCAGGATCGACAGATCCGCTGCGTCCCGAAGGGGGATCCACTGGAGACGGACCGAGACTGGGAAAGGTGAACACACGAGGGGTGGCGTCTGACCGGTAACACCGGCAGCGTCGAGGGAGGACACACGAGGAGAGCAACTCACAGACAGCGAGGGACAAGAGCTTCTCTCTGAGCCCAGGGCTGATGGCACACACAGGAGCAGCGAGGAGGCAACAGGATAACCTGGTAAGGAGGACAACAAGGGATAAATAACGAGTAGATCACAGAGGGCCTTTCTCTGGAACGATAGTTACCGAGGTAAGCTAACACTCAGGCGATGAGAAGTTGTTCAGCCGCTGCTTATATCTGCAATCCACGCCCTCCAAACAAGCTACAGGTGTGGCCACGGGGTTACCCCCGCAGCCTCCCAGGGGCTCGCCTCTGGCGACATCTAGAGGATGCCCAGAAGAAGGATGGAGCTCCAACAAAACAAAAACTCAAACCAAAAAAAGAAAAGCAACGCAGAAAAAACACAGATCCTGACAGNAAAAGGAGTATATACATACAGTATATACATACAGTAAGAACAAGACATTGACTTAGTCATCAAATTCATGGTTTATATAATAACACTGTATTTAGACATAAACAAGAATTTACTTTATTTACTCCCACTCGCTTTTCGTATCTATAAATTGTATGGTAACCACTGTAAGTTGAGATTTAGCTATTTGAGTTTTTCATGATGCTTTTTTTTTATATTTTACATATTTGTTAAAACTGTCACCATGTTGTGACAGTAAACTATGAGACAGATAATCTGTAAAAAAAATTAAGCTCCTTCGCCTTCTCCCAGTGTAAACCAGAAACAACCAAATCAGAGTCAAAATACTAGCTCCACTGCCAGGAGAGTCAATCACCTTCCTCATTCTCTGCTATGCTTCATTCTCTGCTACGCTGCAGCTAGCATAGCCTGTCGCAAATGCTAATGCTAGTTAGCATGGCCACTGATGACGGTGGATAAACAGTTTTCCTTTACCTAAGTTATTTCTCTGGTATTATCTTGCGGTTGATTGACAGCGTTAAGACCCTCCTCCCAGCTCCGATTGGTTCATTTCTTCAGACGTCAGTAGCAGCTCAGGGACGCGATGGAGGAAATCCATCTTTTCACAAATTATCTCTCACAACAAACTGTCACAATTTAGTGGCTGTTTTAACAAATATGTAAAATATAAAAAAAAAGCATCATGAAAAACTCAAATAGCTAAATCTCAACTTACAGTGGTTACCATACAATTTATAGATACGAAAAGCGAGTGGGAGTAAATAAAGTAAATTCTTGTTTATGTCTAAATACAGTGTTATTATATAAACCATGAATTTGATGACTAAGTCAATGTCTTGTTCTTACTGTATGTATATACTGTATGTATATACTCCTTTTTTTACCTACTTATGGCTACAGTATGCATCATTTTCTTCCATTTTATGACTTGAAATAAATCGATAATTAACTAGCTAACGAACTAAGTTGACCCTTGACCCCGAATGTCTGTTTCTGTGTCCAGATCTCGACCTGGATGCGGTCGTCTCCTCCACAGAGAAGCTGAGCCACCCGACGGCGTCGCGGCCGAGAGTCACAGACCGCCGGCCTCGTTCCCAGATCATCGCACCTGTGAGTGTTCAGGAAACCTCCTGCCCCAGTCACAAAACCACAGCCTGAGGTTTCTATTAGACAACCTGCACAGGCATGAAGTGCGACTCCGAAACTAAAATACACTCCAGCTACTTCCAGTTACCTCTGTCACTACATTTATTTGCAATAAATCAGAATTCAGCTTCAGTTTAGACCAGTGGTGGTAGAGTAACAAAAAATTATACTCATGAGTAGCACTATGATTAAAAAAGATAAATAAAGGAATAAACAAGTTACATTTCAAGGATAAAGTCATGATATTACAAAAGTAAACTGGTTTGACAATAAAGTCAAAATAATAAGAGAATAAAGTCAAAATATTACAAGTATAAGCTGGTATGACAAAGTCAAAGTATTATTAGAATAAAGTTGAAATAATGAGAATCAAGTCGAAATAAAAGAATATAGTCGTATTTTGACAATAAAGTCAAAATAATACAAGAATAAAGTCATAATACCTGTAATACGGTAAAATGTCTTGTTATAAATGAAATAATCTCAGTGAATCTAGGACTCTGATTGTTAAGGAATAACTGATTTAATACAAACTCCTCTAAGCTGCTGAAAAGTTACCTGTAAGTTAGTTTTGTCATATTTCAGGTGTTATGATATTTTAAATAGAAACTGGATTAAAATACTTGATCAGATTTATCATTTTTGTTGGATTATTGATGGTTTCTAGATTTTCAGCTGCTATTATTTTCTTTGGCAGTCGTCTCTGTCCAGCACAGAGCTGGAGTCTCCCACGGTGGAGGACAGGAAGGACAGAAGGAAAGACGACCAGGAGTCCGTCCCCATCAAGAAAGCAGTCCCAGTCATCCCAGTAAGACCACTGCTCCTCCTCTTGGTTTTTGTTTTGTTCTTCACTTGGCCACCAGATGGAGCTAAACCATTAATTTTCCTTTCGAAAGTTTATATTTTCCTCCAGTTCTGTTCCCTACGGAGGCCCTGGAGTGCAAATATCAACAAATTACTAAACAGAACTACAAATTGAAAATAATATTTAAAAAGAAAAAAATGTTTGTTTGGGGGTAGTTGTGCTACATTATAACACAACTAATGTTGTGTTTTCTTAATTTGTAGTTGTGCACTGTAAAAACAAAATCTTACCAAGTCATTCTGGTCTAGCTTGTGGTGTAAATATCTTACTATACTTGAAATAAGACAAAATTAACTTGCAAGATATAGGAGCTTGTTTTCATTAATATTAACTTTTTAATATTAATGAAAAATAACTGGTTCCACTGGCAGATTATTTCACTTGTAACAAGACATTTTTCCCTTGTTATAAGTGAAATAATCTGCTAATAAAACTAGTTATTTTTCATCAATGTTAAGAAATTATTGACCTAAAATAAACTCCCATATCTGTCTGAAAACTTACTTGGAAGTTAGTTTTGTCTAATTTCAAGTACATTAAGATATTTACACTAGAAAGTAAACCACAATCACTCAGTAAGATTTTGTTTTTGCAGTGTGCTTAGTTAATGTTGTGATTTTTTTATTTTTAGTAGTGCTTTATTAATGTTGTGGTATTTTCTAAATTTGCAGTTTTGCTTAGTTAATGTTGTGTTTTCTTAATTTAATGCTAATGATGTGTTTTTTAGTTAGTTAATGGAAATATGTTTTCCTAATTTCTAGCTTGGCTTTGTTAATGTATTTTCTTAATTAATAGTTGTGCTTGGTTCATGTTTTTGTGTTTTTGAATTTCTGTTTAATGATTTGTTGAAGTGGTTTCTACTTCAGGGCCACTGTAGTTCTCTTCTATCAAGTGATGCTAAAATATTTAAATCATCTTTTTTTTTTCCACAGGTACATGACGTTAAAGCCCCGCTACCCAAACCCGCCATCCTACCCCCGCCTAACTCCTCCCACCGCTCCATCTCCCCGTCCTCCTCCTCGGGTCTGACCCCGTCCCCGGAGCTCCGGCAGTCGCCGCTCACGCCGACGCCGCCGACGCTGGAGGAACTCAGGAACCAACTGAGAGACTTGAGAGCCTCCATAGAGCTGCTGAAGCACCAGCACAGGTGAGGCTGCCTGCTGGGCCTCTCTTGTTTTTCCTTCATGGAAATGAAGAAAGTTAAAGTGTTACTGTGATGCGTTTCAGGCAGGAGATGAAGCAGCTAGCCAACGCGCTGGACGAGGAGAAGAAGATACGTGTTAGTTTACAGGTCAGACAGTAAATTTGACCTATATGTATTCAGAGTGGTCATACCTCTTGAACTTTTCCACATTTCAAAGTATCAACACAAGGTTGAGCATAATTGTGAAGAGAAACAATTGAACACAGATTTTAATGTTTTTTAGAAATAAAGATCTGAAGAGTGAAGCCTGTGTATAAAAGACTTTTTGTATTTTTGTCTTTAGGTTTTGCTTTACACGTGTGAAATGGTTCATTCCTTACTTTAAGTGTTAATATTTCCTATATCTCTAAAATTAAAGAAAATAATTTACTAATGTTTATTTCTCTTCTCATGGATTGAGAGGAAATTTTGCTTTTTCCAACATTTCAATGAAGTGCACACAGACAGGATAGAAGGAAATTTTTGGTTACATTCTACTTCACAATTATGAACCGCTTGTAGTTTTACCGAGGGAATAAGTTAAAGGTGTGAAACTTTTTCCAAGAACTGCATCAGTGTCAAACCTTTAAATTTTGCAAACAATGTGCAATATTAACTAGCATCTTGGCTTTATTTCACAGGTGGAAGTAGAGCACATAAAGAAGAGCCTGTCCAAATGAGGACTGAAGAATCGATTTCTCATCACATCTGAGGCCACATTAAAAAACAAAAAAAAAAGGAAAAAGATTAACTTTCTCACTGTTGGTTTTGACAGTTCCGCCAAAACTAAGTTTGTGCCAAACGATTGCCACCATCACCGACGGTTCAGCACCACGGATTCAGCCACATTTCCTCCCCTCTAAGCCGCCTTATCCTGCGTTTACTTCTTTCTTTTTTACCTTCTGTTAAAGAGGCTTCTCTGTTTGGTTTACTGCTATCTTCGCTGTGCCACTGGTACAAGGACGCCCCTGGAGCCGCGGCTGCCTGGTACTGTTTTAAGTTTCCCAGAGTGAAGGAAACTTCAGCCTCTGTAGCCTGGTCTGACCAAAAGACCTCTGTGCAGTTCTGCGTCCACTTCGCGGCCTTCACCTCCAGTCTGTGTGTGTATGGGTGTGTCTGTGTGCGTGCGTGTGTGTGCGTTTATATGTTTGTTTTCATGCAATGTGAGGACCTGATGTATTGAGGTTCAAAATGGGGACATTTTTAGAAGCTATATTTCCAGTTAATCAAAAAATAAAATTCTGAGCACTTAAACTAGTTTAAACCATAAGATTCATTTTTTGTGCCATGAGTAAGTTTGTTTACTTTTTTATTGTTTAAATCTACATGAACAAGGGACCAATGATAGCACAATGTCCTTTTCTAAGCATTCAAAATCTTTTAACATTAATATTTTAGATATTTTTTATGAGCCTATGAAGTAGGCTGTGATTTATAATGATTAAAAACTCACAGTAATTTCCTCTAAAAGTTACTGAGTAAAGAAGACATCAGTTCGTACAATACTTTAGTTTACTTTTTGCCTTGCTGTGATATTTTGTCAATTTCTGCTTTATGTTTAACCGTCCTTTAAGCATTCTGGTTGATTGTTAGAACAAATATTCATCCAGGACATTCATTATGCTAAAAGGACATTTTTCTTCTGCATCAAGTTAGCGGTCTGAATGCAACACTGCCTGAAATTTAGAGGTTATGAAAAGACAGCAGACCAAGCAGCCATGTCTTGAAACATAAAAGCAGGTATATGTCGTCTCTTCCTCTAATCCACACAGGGTCAAAAGTATTCAAATAGGTCAAAATATATACATAGAATCCTGTTTTTCGTTTTTCTCCTTTTTTGGCAGAATTAGTAGTTATTTGAAGTTGTTGAACCAGCATAGTCCATATATTTTGAATACATTTTGTTAGGGTGTGTATCCATTCCAGTGTGTTGGTGGTTCTTGACCAGTTGGACCAACCCACTGCATCCAGGCTTCAGCTAACTAGCTGTAGATTTTAGGTGAAATTTAAAGGGGACCTTTTATGCAAAATTAACATTTTGTGCATCTTTGTTCTTCCATTTGGGTTTCAATTGTTTCTAAAAACAGCAGAACCTCTTAAGAATGCTACCTATACACTTTTTGGCAACAGGTTAATGCGTTTAGCTTGTTTGGTCAGCTTCTTTTATCGCTGTATGCGCTGTACAATGGCTGCTGGAAAAGACATGTTTTTTTGTGTTTTTTTTCACTTACCATCTAGAAATGCAGGAATGGCTTGCTACATTCTTGCTGTTTGTGCAGAAGGCTCTACTTCTGCTTTTCAAAGATGTACAGTTATATAATTGCACATCTGATTTCATCCATTTTTATGTGAGGTTGGCAGTGTTGGTCAGATAGTTAAAACTTTGACAGCTTTGGGTGTTATAAATACACATTAAAACTGATTTCAGAAATGGTCAAATAAAGCTGACTTTAAATTTTTGAAATCTTAACCTTGTTAAAATATATGTACTGTGCTGGAAGCCAAATATTAAAACTGAACTAAGGATATTTTTGCATTTATCCAGCATTCAGAGGGGGTCAACTAGTAAGTTACAGTTCAAACAGGAGCAGGTCAAAACAAAAATCACCAATAAAAGACCATGTCGTTTATCAATAATCACATTATGTGAATATGGGATATTTTGGGATTTTGCTGGCATTAAAAACAGATCTTATTTTTCCTTTACAGAAATGAGAAATATTAATGAAAACTTTAAGAAGCACATTTAAGATAATATAAATAATTTATCTGTGTAAACATGAAAACATATAACTGAAAGTGCATGAACAAACAGAAACCATTCCTTTTCAGTGAATATTAACAGGGTTAAGCGAATGTAGAAGGTTCCAGGTCCTCATGGGTAGATGAAGATAAAGTGTGTGCTTATGTGTGGTTTTTGTATTACAGCATGTGCAGCTGTTTTTGCCTCCCTTCCTTACGTGTGCACAAAATCTATGACAACCCGTCACTGTGGCCTTCCTGTTTCAGATTATAAGTCTTTTTATTTCTTCTCTTTTCTGTCTTTTCATATGACAAAGAGAAAACTGCTACAACTGAGGCTACAAGTTGTTTTCTTGACTTGGTCCTTTCTCTCCAAGATGGTGATAAATGAATATATATATATTTACTTTTATATTTCAGTGTAATAAAGAGGCTATTATGTACTGTATGTGTGTGTCTTCTGTAATAAATTAGAGTGGGTTTACTTAGAGAAACAGAGAGTTAAAAAGTAATGAAATGTTTCAGTGAACAAAAGAAGAAGTTGCTGTAACAACTGTTGCTAAAAACCACAGTTGGATTTTAGCAACAGCAGCATTTCTTGACGTGAAAAAATCAGATAAAAGTTCATTTGTCAAGTAATCAGTAAACCAGAAAATATTTTTAATGATTGAAATATTAGAAAAAGTATTCCTAGTCTTCAAACTAGGAATCTTTTTCATTCCAAAAGATTGTTTCATTCCAAACAAAGATTTTCAACTGCAGTTGCAGCGAGAAAAAAAAAAGAAAAAAAAATGCTGAAATGTTGTCATTTGTTCCTACTTTACAACTGTGGTACTTTATGTTGCATTTTTATTTGAGAACAATATGTTTTCCAGTCTTTTTTACATTTAAAAAGCTTTAAAGTGCAAATCCTCTTTATTCAGATACATTTACATATCTGAACAATAATCCACTTCACATACAGCACCACAAATTAGCACATATCCCATAAAATCCAAATAAAATACATTGCTGATTGTGCTTTTAATTAGAAAAAAATTTAAAATGCAGTGCATTATGTGATAATATTTGGCAGTTGAAGTTATAAAACTTACAAACCTTCTTGGGTCAAATTGTAGTAATTTGTCAAACAGTAATGAGGAAGTTAATCAGCTGACCAGTCAGTGCTACCAAACACCCTGTGACACAGAGTTATGGTTTGTACATCCGGATCTACTAAATACAAGAAGAAATCTCATAATTATGAGATCTTATCTCATAATTATGAGATAAGATCTCATAATTATGAGATTATGAGATCTCATAATTTTATCATAATTTCAAGAAAAGAGCTCAGAATAATAAGATCTGGATCTTGTAATTACAAGAAAAGACCTTATTATTATAGAATCTTATTTCATAATCCCAAAAAACACCAAATCCTACTATTTTTAGCCTGGTTTCTACTACAAAAATATTAGTGCACTTGAAATAAGATGTAACAAGTAACTTTTCAGCAAGATATAGAAGCTTGTATTAAGTAAATAATTCCATAATATTGATGAAAAAGCCATGATTCCAGTGACAGATAAATTAACTGATAAGAAAACAATTTCCCCATGTTATAAGTGAAATAATCTGCCAGTGGAACTAGAACTTTGTCATCAATATTAAGAAAATTTTACATAAAACAAGCCCTTTTATCTTGCTGAAAAGTTGCTTGTAAGTTGGTTACACTGGTTTTTCTTTGGTGAAATTGAGACAAAATCACAAAATACAGTATAGGTGGGATCAGGCTTATTGTATTACTTTGGTTGGTTCTATTTTTTTCTGATAAGTTACTATTTTTGTGTAGTTGTCTTGTTGGAAGGAGTTGATGTGTGGTTGTCGGCAGAAGGATGCGCTTGCCCCCGGGCCATGTTCATGCCAGAAGCGCCCCTGTCAGTGCTTGGTCCAGCAGGACGCAGTTATATATTTAGACAGCAGAGGAGTGATAACATTTCAGAGTTGGCCTGCAGGCTCAGTCAGCCGCCTCCCACTCTGGAAACTTTAAACCAGACAGACCTGCACGCCTCAGAGTAACAATTAAACTTCATGAGTTCATGAGACTCCCCCCCTTCTGCTTTTCCTCATCTGGTCGGATCCAGTCGGGTGGAAAAGCGGGCGTCCTGGTGCGAAATAATCGGTGTGAGTTAATGAGGCGGAGATGCAGGAGGACAACCCCAGACACGCTCCTCTGCGGCCAGGACAGGTGCTCCACTGGTGAGCCGGCAGAGGACGGGACGGGCAGCCAGGGAAGGAGGTAAACAGCGGACTCTCTTCGCCATGGATCAGGGTCAGAGCGCGCAGGTCGCCGATATGGCGGGGGAACACGCAGCCGCGGTGTGCGCGTCCGAGCGCGGCGAGGTGTCCAGCCCCAGCCCGCCGGCCAAGCAGCGCTCCCTGCGGGTTGTTTACGTCCTGAACGACGGGCTGAAGGCGGTTATGGCCAGCAGCCCGGAGTCCGGGGCGCTGCAGTGCCTGCAGAGAGCCTGCGACGCGGAGAGCGCCCTGCTCACCACCGTCACCTTCGGACGGCTGGACTTTGGAGAGACGGCGGTGCTGGACAGCTTCTACGATGCAGGTGGGTTCCTCAGGTCGGAACCGAAACGGGTTCACAGCTGCAAATCGAAAGTGTAATCAATCAGTGCGTCTGTTTTTCAAGATGTTACCAACGTTTTACTTTGTTTTGGTTTGGAAAAACTCACGATTTCTGTGATGGCGTTTGGCCCGATAGAGAGAAAAAAAAGGAAGAGTAAATCAAACATTTTGGGGGGAAAACTTGGAGATTTCTGAGTTTCAAAACTCGAAATGACATTTATTTTTCTGGCAAATTTTCGACAGTCCAAGCTTAGAAATGCCCTTAATTTTTCTAGAACATTTCTGAAAATAATAATTTTATATATATATATATATATATATATATATATATATATATATATATATATATATATATATATATATATAAATAATTCCCCTCTCACCCTCCGTGGGTGGTCTCTTTCATCCTCTGAGCGCGGGTCCTCTACCAGAGGCCTGGGAGCTTGAGGGTTCTGCGCAGTATCTTGGCTGTGCCTAGAACTGCACATTTCTGGACTGAGATGTCTGAAGTTGTTCCTGGGATCTGTTTGAGCCCCTGCCCCAGTTTGGGGGTGACTGCCCCGAGGGCCCCGATGACCACAGGCACCTCTGTGGTCTTCACCTTCCAGGTCTTTTCCAGTTCCTCTCTGAGGCCCTGGTATTTCTCCAGTTTCTCGTGCTCCTTTTTCCTGATGTTGTGGTCACTTGGTATTGCTACATCCACCACAACGGCTTTCCTCTGTTCTTTATCCACCACCACAATGTCCGGTTGGTTCGCCATCTTGTCTGTCTGGATCTGGAAGTCCCACAGGATCTTAGCTCGGTCATTCTCCACCACCTTTGGGGGTGTCCCCCACTTTGACCTCGGGACTTCCAGTCCATATTCTGCACAGATGTTCCTGTACACTATGCCTACCACTTGGTTATGTTGTTCCATGTACGCTTTCCCTGCCAGCATCTTGCACCCTGCTGTTATGTGCTGGACTGTCTCAGAGGCCTCCTTGCACAACCTATACATTGGGTCTTGTCTGGTGTGGTAGATCTGAGCTTCTATTGCTCTGGTGTTTAGGGCCTGTTCCTGGGCGGCCAGGATGAGGGCCTCTGTGCTGTCCTTGAGTCCAGCTTTCTCCAGCCATTGGTAGGATTTCCTGATATCAGCCACTTCAGTTATTTGTCGGTGGTACATCCCATGTAGGGGCTTGTCCTCCCATGATGGTTCCTCCAGCACCTTGTCCTCTGTTCCCCATTGCCTGAGACATTCGCTGAGCACATCGTCCGTTGAGGCTTTGTCCTTGATGTATTTATGGATCTTGGATGTTTCATCCTGGACAGTGGCTCTCACACTCACTAGTCCTCTGCCTCCTTCCTTAAGGCTTGTGTACAGTCTCAGGGTGCTGGATTTGGGGTGGAACCCTCCATGCATGGTTAGTAGCTTCCGAGTCTTAACATCCGTGGCCTTCATCTCTTCCATTGGCCAGCTAATTATTATCTGATTACTAGTAAGTAATTATTGCCTTATTCGTTGGAGGTTTTTGGCTGTGGCTCCTTTCCTTGTGACCTCATCGAGGTTGCCATTTGCTTGTGGTAGTTAGATGTACCACAACTAACACCACTAACTTAGTTAGATCCAACGATAGTTGGATGGGACTGAACCCTTTG